AAGGAAAAGATCTACAAAACAAATAATAAGGGGTTTGGAATTTATAATTACACGTGCAGAAATAGGAGACTGCATTTTAATTTAGGGAGTGCATTACTGAGTTAAAGAGTTGACTGACTGTATATAGATTCAGTATCGACTGTCCTCTATAAGGAATCCGTTACACGTTTCATTAATTCACTTTTGTATATTTTATAATACTTTACTAAATATTACTTCTCGAGCTAGTCTATCAAACGACGGCAAAACTTCTTTATGAAAGAGTGTGTGAAGGAAACGAGTTTAATCAGGCATTCGATGAAACGCGAGACATTACTAGAGGAGAACAATCTTACTTTTGCTGCCAAACTAGCTTATCTGTTGTATGTCAATTTAGAATTTATGCCAATCTAGAATCAACATATGTCAGTTTGAGATAATAGTAGGTTAATACTATTAAACAATGTCAACTACATATGTGTACTAATGTTATTAACTAAAGGTATTATATTCTTATGAATGAGTTATTGGTGTGTGTTATAATAGTTATTTGCTTCAAGCTTCTAAATAAGACTTGAAGTAGTGACTAATCATGCAATTTTTTGCTTGACATCATTGGACATTGACGGATGGAAATTTAGCAGTTTAATGTTAGATAGTAAATGCAATCGTTTTTTCCAATATTATGCATCTAATCGTACGATGATTTGCATTGAGATTATTGGTCCAAGTTTTAACATATAGTAGAATGTATTTTAATGTTTGCATTTTAATGTTTGTATTCCGTAAAATTCTTGGTATACGTTAGCATTATTATTATGGTTTGGTTAAACTGCAATGTAATCTAATCGTATGATGATTTGCATTAAATTGTTGGTTGATTATTGGATAAGAATCCCATCGTACGATGATTTGCATTAAATTGTTGGAATATGGTTAGACTGTAAATGTTGATCTGATCGTATGATGATTTGCGTTGGGAATGTAAACATGGCTATTGATCTAATCATCGATATTAGATTACATACAATCTGACAGATAAATGAGACTAAAACTTTACACTAATAATGTGATACGAATGCTCCGATACTTGACATCAGTTTCAAATGCTAAATTCAGACATAATTCATATTTCGATAGTTGAATACATTTGCCTCTCACTAATGATGACACACATCGGGCAAGTCGTCGCATGGATAGATTGTCATAATAAGGAGAAGATAGTGTAATAGTAAGGAATTATCACTAGTAGTTAATTTACCATAGCGATAAATAAGTAAAAAAAGGAAATAATATTTTCTTGCAGGTAGTTACCTAAACATAGATGCAATTTAAATATGGCATAACCATATTTCTTACAAGTTTGTAAATGCTAGTTTGTCTTCAGTATTGTAACTATAGAACTGCATGAAGTAAATCGTAATAGCACATAAAGATATGTACCTAATAATGTAATACACTAACAAACTTATCGTCGAAAATTGATTCTCAGATAATTATACGCTATATTTGTCAGAGGGTGGGTTGCCGGGGAAAAAAAACCAAATGGCTCTCTGATTAGTAACAGTATTATTCCTAATGTATTAAAATTTTTTGCGAGCAAAAGTTCAGATTGTAACAAGCTCAACTTTACTTATATTTGCTATGCTGAAACAAATTAGCGTTTGATATGAGAAGCATAAAATTGAGTATATGATACATTATAGTTAACACATACTTATAGTCTTGATAATAAAATACATTGCCTTCATTGATTATTCCATGTCAATTCTAGATTGAGATAAATTTCAAATTGACATACAACATATCCAACAGTTGGATAATTTGAGCGAACAAGCAATCGATGGAGCCGTAAAGAAACATGAGACTGTATCTATCACGCTTGCTTCGCTGAATAAGGTAAATTTGATATCTTTAAGTTGATATTATTAGATGCGGTGGAATGAGCAAAGGAAGGATTGGACGCTATGGCAAGAGTGGTAGGTCGCGGAAAAAGGACATTATAACGTTCATGTTCAGTGACAACCAGATACCAGCACACTGCGCGCGGCCATATGGCAACAATTTTAGCGAATCTACGTCGGATTCCAGCAAGCACACCAGCTAATTAGGATAATTAATTATTGATGAGCTGATTATAAAACATCTTGGCAGACGTTTATTTTTGACTTACGTGTTTGTTAGTATAGAAGAAAAGTATTGATAAAACATATAACTGGGACTAAAATAACAGTGTATTATTAGCAATATATTGGCAAATGATCAATATATACGCATTTTATTTTCTTCGACTATGTCGAAAACAAAGTATCAACGGGCAAATATACCTTTTTGCATCACGCAATTCTGTTGTTTCCGACAATTTAACCCAATAATAAGATGACTGATAATAATAGACTGTAAATTTTATTTAACTTATGAGAATAAAATTAAGCAATGTGTAAATTGTGGTTTGAGAATGAGCTTTGAGATTATTAAGCCAATGAATGTACATTGTATCTCCCTGCTTTTACAAAAAACGCGTAACGTGTATTTTTCTGCTTGGTAACTTGTCCCAATCAACTTTCAGGTAATTTTTTTTAAGTCTAGTTCTGGACTGAGCAACTAAGTTCTGAACTGAGATAGGCCCCTCGAACTCAACACAACATACATAATGGTAAAACATCAAAATTATTATCTATACATATTTTTTTGTTTTACCATTAATTTATGCTTGAAAATAGTAAGAGAAAGACTAATTCATTAATCACTTCTTTTAATTGGTCTTCTAACCAGGTTTGGTTTAAACATGCAGTATAATAAAGTACTAGATATTGTCGAATACACGGTATTAATTCATAATTAATGCAACGGCAATTGACAATTTTATGTATCAAAATTTATTGTTTAGCTCCTTTATTTGTGACATCTAAAAAAAAGGAACGTAATTGTCTGTTTGAGCATTGGTCCGCAAAATTGACTAAATTAATCTTTGTAGTCTTATAAGAACTGACGTTATCTTTGGTATCTGTCCAACAGTACCCCAAACTTTCAAAATTTAGTTTGGTTAATGTATGCACGTTTTTACCGTTATTGTTTTATAATTTGAGGGTTATAACCACACTTTTTTTATTAGTTAAAGTTTTTCAATTTCTTTCGAGAAGAAAGGTAGGCCAAAATCCGTTTACTAATATAAAGTTAAAATAAATTTACACGTATTAATTGTAGACAAACGTGATAACAAAATTTTTGCCATTTTACATTTTGATTCGATTTGAATAATGTGCGTAATACGTAATCGTTGTTCGAAATATGTTTAAACAAAGTATTACATTATTGCTGTATTTTAACTCGAAAATTAATAGTAAAATTATTTATACATTTATTATAAAGTTACACGTGTTAACATAACATAGACAAACGTAGGCGCAATATAATTAAAAGCATGCAATTTATTTAGAGCATCGACAATAAAATTTTAATAACATTATTTAAAAGTTTGTTGAAAATATAGGTATCGTCTTAAAAGTTTGGCAAAGTAATAAACTTTGCGTCTTAACCCGCGTATACAATTTTCCTTGTCTACAACTTTATCAGATTGAGTTAATAGACTTTTAAGGGTTTCGCGGCACAGTTTTGAAGTTTGCAAATTCTCGGTAAAGCTGTCGCATTATGCTCTGGTCTTTAACCTTCCAATTAAAAACTTTTAATTTAATAAATTGCTGTATGTAGATAAATCTGTCTAAGCAGAATTAAACCGGCTCAATGTAATATATTAAAGAGTATTCCAAATGTCACAAAACATTGTGTATTGCAGACAACAGTTGAATGAGATTTTACCATAAATGAGAGCATGTTACATGAAAGACTTTGTCATAAATTGGAATTGTAATGTTAACTCTAATGAATAAGCAAGGTAACGGGAAACAATGTTACATTATATTTTATCATAGCAGTTTACGATAAATATAATTTAAACAATTTGCTATTTATTTGTCATATTAGACTCTAGCATTTTACAACAAAAAACGAAATTTTGGATTATTAATTTATATTTATAATAAAACCATTGACTATTAAGAGTCTTCTCAACAGCTTGATGCCTTCGATCAAATTTGGAAATTAATGCTGTAGGGGGCATCGATTAAATTGGAAAGTGTTTCACATAACTAACCTTGACATCTCATGATTAGTTTGCTCAAATGCATCACACAAAACCTAAATACATTTTTTTTTTAGAAAATCTGTTGAAAATTAATGCTCCTACTTCTTGTTTATTTCCAAATTTGATCAGGGCATCAAAACTGTTGAGAACGCCCTAATATTTTTCTTACTTTAAACAACGAATTATAGCATTTACATGTATATATACATTTTAGCTTTTGTACTACTTCGCGATAAGCTTTTATCAAATTACTATTCTTAAATTAAAGTTTAAAATTAGTTTATTCCGATCAGCTATTAGAATCTAGATCTACCTACTCCTTTGCTATAAATACTGATGGTCTATCTCACATAATTTATGTACAGCGAAGGCATCTTCACGAGCGGCGGCCGTTTAACGTATAAATTATTCAAACTTGCTAATACCAACATTTGTAATTTTTTGACTGCTGATGGTACCTTGGACACAGCGGGTAACTTTTCTGTTGGTGTTATTATAAGCGCATTTATTTAAATTGACCATTCAGTATTCTTTTATACAGGAAGATAACCTTTTGAGAAATTTACATCTTACAATCGGTTCGCATTGGGTTCAAATTGCTGCACAAATAAACAACAGGACAGCAAGGCAGTGCGCAGAGCGGTACGATTAAAATAATATTACGTGTAAAAAGCTACTGTTTTTTGTTCGGCAACGCTGCGCTGTTACTTACAACATTATTTCAAATATTTTATTGTTGATTACCAGATGGCATAATCATTTGTCTCCAAACAGTAAGTATTGTGACTAATTAACATACAAAAAAAAAAAAGACAAAAAAATGCTATATGTACTGACAATTGTTTACTTACAGTCAATACTACCCCCCTCACACATTATGAGCGGCAAAGGGTACTGTACTTACATCAACTTTATGGACCTCAGTGGAGTCGTATTGCTTCACAACTTCCCCGCAGAACACCGCGCATGGTCAAAAACTGCTGGTATTCGATGAGACGGGCAGAGTTCAACCGTATCCGTCAGAGGATGAAGATTGACAACTTATTAAACTAATTAAAGAGGGAGACCGTTAAAAAAAATATGAGATAATAAGGGGGATAATTATATGTAATTCTACGGTCAACTGTAATATCAGTGTCATATTAGTTAATCTATGATTAGAAACTTGTACGCCACTGCAAATAACGAATTCTATCTTACGTAAGAATAATAACTTCTATAAGCAAATATTGATAATTAGATCACTACACAAAATCTTACTTTTTATGCAAGACACGCATTAAAGCCGAACAAAATAAACAAACAAACAAAATCCTGAATTGCCGACATTAAAAGTTGCGTTCGTATTACAGTCAACAAAATTACTAAAATACTCTCGGCTACTTCCAAGCGCAGATTATATATACACATTATTTAAATGTTATACGTAGAGATCTCGCAAGTAAGGGTTCTAGAGTTTGATGAATGAATAATACTATTGAACCACTGTTTCAGAATCATTGTTACGACTAATCTGATTGACAGAAAATACACATATGACATCAATTTGCATCGTATTTGCTTTAAGTACATCTCTTTACGAATCACGATGATTGAACGATACGTTGAATGACAACGAGCAGTCGATCGCAAGACTAATTTGGCGTCATACTTATTCCTCGATTACTATTTTTGATGTGGCGTTATTCGTGTCATTATATAAGCTCTCAGCCATGTCCTGTGACTATGGCCGAAAATTATCAAACTCTCATTGTTTGTTCTATATTTATACTAGTCAACGGTAGACAGGTAATTTAAAGGAAATAACATGGCATGGTCAATTAGAATTTAAAAATTTCGATTGGTTGTGTCGAAGTACGACCAGGTTTTTTAAGCAACAAGCGACCCTGATTTTCGATCATTGTTATTACAGAGTGGGCATCCATCTGTACTCTTTGAGATCCCCTGTCGATGCGCGATGATCGGCGAAAATTATACGCATTAAGCTATACATGACCCCCCTTCAATATGGTATGCGCAGTATGCAGTGCAACCATTTTCTGTGTTTTATTGGCCTGTGCTTTGTTGACCTCCCCATTCAACTTTCAACCTTTCTTAGAGTATGGAATCGCTAATTGTAACACAACATGATACGAGTGTTTAATTCGCATTACTAAATTAGATTAAAGTTCAAGTCACATCAATTAATTTTGCCAAGCTTGAGTCGTCAATTTATGCTATTAAACGTTGCACATACATTGCATGTTATGTCTGAACTTAGTCAACTCAGTCCAGAATTGAGACAGGTCTACAACTGAGATGCAGCAGGATTTATTGTTTTTGTTCCTGTTTGTTATTACGCAATTGACTATCAACAAACAGACTTGAACGATTAACGTATGATTACGCATTAGAGGATATTCAAAACATTACGCCATACAAAAAATAATAAAATAAGTTTTTCGCAAGCATTCGCAATTTAATTTGCTGCATAATAATAAACCCAGTTTTGATCAAATAAAAATTTGCAATGGCAGTACTACAGTTCCACGGATTGTTTGTCTGATAAAATCCATAGTGATAACGGATCGGTGTCGAAAAGGAAAATAGGCAACAAGATTGATAGATAACGGAATTGGCTTCCGGATATACTGTATCTGGTGTCGTTTGTTCAAAAAGTAACAATTGTTCGCTCATCCGGTTGGTTGTTGTCATTCTGTGCTGCTGTATTTTAAGAGAAACTGCAGTATAAGGTACACCGCATAATTGTTTAAACTTACTAAAATTGGAGCTCATGTATATTATGGTTTCCTATTTGGATTGTCATAATTCAACAGACTAAGACACATTCATCATATTGCATTGACAATAAAGGACGTACAAAGAATAAGGTTCACATCAGCCACCTCATAATTATAATGGCGCAAACGCCACCTTTTATGGGTGTGATACAAGGGGTGTTTCATGGCACAACGGCACAAAAACTTTATAGTCAGGCAATATTATTTCTATCCGATGACGCATAGTCTTGAATGTTTAACCTAAACTAAATTAAATTAGGTTACAAACCTACTTTTTACAACGTAAACAATACTGTAGATCGTAATAATTAAACTTTTTTACTCTAATCCTAATCTTATTTGATTTTTCCCTTATAAAGCACACTTTGCTGTACGAACATATACCGTATACGGTAAATAGCTAAAGTAAAAATTTTGGTTTGCAATCTCATAAAATAATAAACATCTCGCTGTAAGCGGTAATTTAACAGAATAATCAAATACGATTTTATGACAACACTATTACCAAGTCGAATCGGGCGCCGAAGACTATCGATAATTTTTATTAGCTCAATAGAAATTCGCTTTTTAAGTCTAAGGGCATGTCTAAAGCGGAGCAAATCTCTCACAATTCCATTGGTCAAATTTGCAAAAGCGGAATCACGTTTTGTTCGCTTTAGCCTTTCCAATTCTAGTCATAGTTGTTGTTGCTCATAGGTGATACAAGGTTTTAGATCCACGATTTAAAGTGCGTGGCGTGAAGAAACATAATAATGTTTATATAAATTTGCCAAGCGACAAGTGGGGCTTTTTGATCAATGTACGTAGAGAGATATAATATGCTAAACAAAAAGGCAAAGCTCGGTTAGTTATTGACAGATAATGTGCCAGTAACTGCTTAAAAACAAAGTATATAAGGTGAAACTCGCCTGCAAAATTCCCCCAAAACCAAAGGCGGACCCAGCGGCAGCGGCGGATTTGTTTACGCATAATTTGATTAGAATGAAGACTAATAATACACGAATAATTACAAAAAATATAAAGTCACCAGCTTTAGTTTAATTAATTACGATTATTTCCATCAATTAAGACAGTGAGCTACGAAAACTTCTTGACCGTCGCAACCCGTTGTTCTAATTATTTAAATTTTTAGCATTTATATTTAATTGCTGCTAATTAGAATTTTTTCTTTCGCAGCTTAACTATTTGCAAATTAATTCTCTGTCGCTATCATTAAAGAGTCAGAACAATATTCTGTATATTTGTTAAACCACAATTACGTACTTTATTAGTATTTATGACAAAAATTTATTATTATTATTAGTATTGTTCGTAATATTTATTTCAATACTTAAACGGCTATGATTAATTTATTTTGTGCTCTATTCAATTTTTAAGTTATTTGCATGGTTTAAAAAATTTTTGAACGTAAAGGAGGCCAAACAAAGACGAACAATACAATTCAAGTTAGAGTAAAGTAATTACAATTTACAAATAAACAAATGGTACTTACACAGCTAATTCTAGAGCTTAATAACTTGATTATTGGCAAAATGTATATCTTCGGTTGACGCTCTTATTAGGATACTTATCCGATACGTAAATGTTGACTTCTCCGTTCTGCACGACAAAATGTCGAGTTTGTATTATTTGGAAGTACCTGGAATATGGATATTTTAACTGTATTTATTAGTCAATATTTTACAAGCACTGTATTGATATTTGAATACTACTTAATTTTATAGAGTACGATAGTTACGTTTATGCATATAAATAATTTTGATAAAATGCTCCGTATGCTGCTAACCCAATTACAGCATTGCTATACCTACTACACAATAGTAATAGTAATTATTGGTTATAATTATCCAGAAGTACATGATTATGGGATAAAATACTTAAATTGTTTACAATTTATAAACTAAATAATGCATAATTTGTTTTTATAATAGCTAATGTACTTAAACTGTCCAAGCAAACATGACTGCGTATTTTATTTGTAAACTTTAAATAATTGGTTCTCAATGTTTACTTTTAATTAATAATTTTCTTATTTTCAAATATTTTGTCCAAAAAAGCGGCTAATGGTAAACATGCATGCATGACTTTATTTCGGCGTCTTGTTAACTTATCAATATTGACATATGTAGAAGCATATCGTATAATGCAAACCTTTGAATAAAATTCATATAATAATATCTGCAATAAAACAATAAATTACGAGTTTATTCAAAAATAGGTTTAGTTGCTAAATTATAAGATGTGGAAGTGTTAATATTGTAATATTGTATATTGACTTTATTTGTATCAACGTGTACTGTAACCGTACCTGCAGCTGAATCCAAATCATAGCTATTTCTCGCTTTGGGTAGATCTCCAGTAGGTAAGAGTTTACTAGAATATTTACTCTCCTTCTCGGGACGTGATAAGGGTTTTACATCATTATAATAGATAGTCTTCCATGTGTTGTCATCAGACTTATACATCTCATTAAGAAGCTTGCCAATATCTCGCTCAAGTGTCTCCGCATTTGGACGCTTATCAGGATCAGCATCACAACACTGCTCAGCAAGCTTCTTGTACTCCTCTGGTGCTGAATCGGGCATCGGTGGTCGTAGCCCACCCAAAATATCGCATACTAAACTTCTATCGAACTGCCTATCTCGAAAAGGTGGTTCACCAGTAGCAATCAAATACATAATAATACCAAAAGAATATACGTCTGACTTCTGAGTAAACTCGTGAGTATGGAAGACTTCCGGTGCAATAAATGGTAAAACGCCTCGTATGGTTGAATTTTGTTGACGTGAATTTACCAATTGAGAAAGACCCAAGTCGCATATCATTAAGTTATCATAATGCAAAACAATATTTCCGTCATGGAGATCACAATGTACTAAACCCACACTATGAATATTTTTCAGATATAATGTGATACTCTTCAAACGCCATAATTTCATTCTCCATGTCAATTTGTTAATATTTTGTTGCAAATAAGACAAAAGATTACCATTGTTAGCATACTGCATAACAATCATGTACTCTTTTGTTTTTGGGTCTTGTGTGGCTCCATAAATTTTAAGGAATAAATGAGTATTGCTTCCACACTTGGCATGATTTCTGAACTGTTAAATAAAGCAAATACAGAGTTAGCTTAAATATTACTTTAATTAATACTACTACCAATCATTGCTTACCTCGGAAATAAATAACTCCGGCATTTCATCAAAATTTTTAAACCGTTTTAACACAACAGTTTGTTGCATACTCTTTACTTCTGAATATTTTTTATACTTGGCAGTATAAACTGTCCC